GAACATGCTAAACTCAGCTCATGTATGTCACCTCTCTATTCCTGTCCCCTCATGGCATACCTACCTGGTCATTCCAGCAATCTTACCTCTGTGGTGGGCCAAGAATCTACACCAATGGCTACTTGCTCACTTCTTCATCTTTCAGTGCAAATGATCTCTCTGGCAACTTTGTGTACATCTCAACTATGGCCAGTTGAGCAGGGGAGATTAATGATCCTATGGCAGATGTTCTTACCTCATACATGTTCAAGACAAGGCAATACTCATAGCTTACTCTAAAATCCTGCCCAAGGCAGTGTCAGTGTTTCATTTGAGTCAGGAATGAATTTTCCTATTTTGCTCTGATGTAGCATATGCTACGTTTGCTATTGTCAAAATCCCCCTGCATGCTGCTGTCTTTGAACAACTGGCTTTTCAATCTTTGTACTTCTGGAAGAAAGACAAATGACTTTTTGTAACAAGCACCATCTGAAGTCTACCACTGTGTGACTATAAGCACTTAAAGAGAAATAAACTATTTCTTTTTTTGGACATACATATTCAAGCCCACAATTTGTTCTTCCTCCTTGGAGTTCCTTATGGCTTTCCAAGGCTTCCCAGCTGTCAAGAAACTGAGTACAGGAGGAACAAGTGTTATGCTTCCTAGGCCATACTGCATGCATAGAAAATAAGGTTTGATTTCATCTGCAAAGGTCCTGGTGAAGTAAAACTGATTTGGCTTTCTGTGCTTGTGTATGTGAATCTTACATGAGAATGTACATGCCGAAAAAAAATATGATGTAACAGTTGAATAACCTCTATAGCCTTTTATGGACTGCTTGAAAGGACTCGGATAGGAGATCTGGCACATCAAGTGTTTGGGAAACTTTTCCTGATGAAGCCTAAAATTATGAAGTTGACAACTTCCAAAATGGGGACAAATAAAGTACTTTGTCATTTTAAGTAGGAAGAATGTTCCAAACAATCCTATAATCTTCCTTTCCGTCCGAAAGATGGTAACTTCCTCCTAATTTGCACTAGGGATAGTTTGGAACTTCTTCACAGAAGCTGCAAAAGTTAGAAGAAAAAATGGATAAGTACTACTGAAGATTGTTGCTGGTTCATTTGCACATTTCATGAGGCCCTGATATATTCACTAGTCAGGTCCGGTGTAGGAATTCCTGGAAAGCCTGTGTCTGCTGAGGTGCCAGGATCTATTGAAGTTATTTTGCTGTGGGAACTGTGATACACTGATATCTCACCACATGTTTTGGATGTGTCCCACAGCAAGGCTGAATCTAGTAAAGCTTCATTACATTCTACTCATACAGCAGGGATAAACTGATATTTTGCACAGTCCTCATTCTATACACATACACAGCTCTGACAGCAAAACTGATTTTTTTCAGTTCTGTTTTGCTGTGTTCTTTGGACCATTGTCCATAAAAAGATACAAACAGCAACAACAAAACACAACTGGACTACTAATTTGTATTGGCATAATGTCATATCAGACAGAAGACAGACAATTAGCATTGCAGTAATTATTTTATCTTATGTATTTATCTGAGGTTGGAAGATAAATGCTATGAAAATGTAAACATGAAAACATTGTGTGTGTGTGTGTATATGTATATATATATATGAAATACTGCTTTCTTCTAGAGGAGATCTGGTTTCCTACAATGATTTTTTTTCCCTGGATGAACATCAACTGAGATGTAAAATAGTCTAGAGCCTATTTGTCTTTGTAGGTGTCAGGTGTTGCTTCTCACTTGCACTTATTGCTATTCCACCTACCTGAAGCTATAAGAAGGTGAACAAGCAGAATCAGCTTGGGCTTTTGCAGCTTGCTCACTGGAGTCAGCCTGACCAACAACATCCCAGCCTTGAGGAAATGCATAGGTAATTTAAACAAGCAAACAACTCTGCAAACATCTTTTTTCCAATTTATTGGCATTACATTCCGTATCAACGAATAACAGAAAATAGGCCCAAAGGAATAGTCCCTTTTAAAATAAAAAATACATTTAGAATCACATACATCAATCTAGATTTGAAGAACAGGCGAAAATAAGAGCTGTAGTTGATAACATTCTTTTAACCCACTACAGACTCTTTTCAATAAGATGAGATTGACATTTCCTATTCGCTAAACTTTTAACTCATTAAGAAATGCTAATTGATCTCTTTTCTGCATTCAGTTCACTTTCCCACAGGTTCTCACTTTTTTTCTGTCCATTCCAGTTATGTGCATAGGTGTCGTGTGTGTATGTATGGGTGCTATCTTGGATATATATTATGTAAGCCAATGTCCTGGTTATCCTGATATACCTCAGCTATTCCCAAAGCAAAGAACAAAAAGTAAATTAAAAAAAAACACTGATAAAGCAATTGCCTCCAACTGTACGTGTTGAAGAAATTAAAGACTGCTTCCTAAGGTGGACTTTACAATCAGACAAGCATCTGACCAGCATGCAAAAAATGCAGTGTTATATTGTAAATATGGTAGGGCAAAGGCTCAGCACTGGTGAGGAAAAAAAAAATCAAAAGTCAAACAAAAACAAAACACGAACAGAAAACAACTTCTAAAAGTTTTAATTTTCTTTTCTTCTTTTCTTAAAAAACCTTCCAGGGGGACTGAATAGCTCAAGGGGTTGGTAATAGGATACAGAGCCTTTCATCTCTAGGTCACCAGTTCGCATCCAGGCCAGGTCAGTAGTGACCAAAAATTGTTACCATTTGATGGGTTTTCAGTGACCTATATGAAATAAGTTGTTGGAACCGTTGTTGGAACAGTTGCTGGAAGCTGTTCACTTCTTATTCAAGAAGCTATGGCTGATATTTTGGCAGTCTCAGTAGCGAGACTTCATTACCTGTTCATCTAAAGATGCAAGGCACACTGATGGCATTTAGTAGAAATCTTTCTTTCTACAACTATTATAAACTCATAATTGTTTTAACAATTACTGTAGCTGTTAGTATTCTGCTGCCTGTTCTGGATCTGTGCTGTGGTCCAATGGATCTCAGGGTTGCTAAAAAGGTAACTGCTCCAGGCACTCAATTAATACAAAACCATTCTTCATGTCAGCACAGCTAACCTGAATTTATTTAAGTTGCAGGACTAAATCCCCATCTTTCTTTCTTTATGTCTTTATTTTCAGGTTTTTCACCAAGATTAAACAGAGGAACTCAATCAGTATAACACATCCAGAACATTTTATGTGTGAAGGAAAAAAAACCAAAAATGATAAGACAAGCACTAGCTGGCCTAGCATTTCAAAGCAGCAACAGCGTAATACAGTGTCATAGATCAAGTCAGACTTGGAATAAATTCCAGAATCATTGCATTCCTAATTTTTATGTTCTTCTCAGTTCCATCAAGCTAAGTAGCAACAGATTTCTTCTCCCCACAGGACAGTAAAAAAACATTTCCCTCACTCCTTTGCAAATGGTTTCTTATGTTCAGAATACTACTGGGACCTTGTTAGCCTTTTTAAACATTTCTTTAAATGGCTAGCTTATGCATACATCACCTAGATACTTCAGATTTTCTATAACAGAAATTTCAAGAAGCAAGCATGCTTCCTTTAAAGTTATCACTGAGAATAGAAGCTGCCAAGAAAAGCTAAATTTTAAAAAATTCATTTCTACTGTCTGTCAATGGAGGAGGCCCTTAAAATGAGAAGAAAATATGCCCTGAAAATAACATTTCTACCTAAGATCTCTAAACAGGTCCTAATTCCTGGCCATAACATTTGGGAGGAGGAGGGTGCTGAGTGACGAGTAACGCAACCACAATACTCCGCTTCCAAAGGCCTTCAAGAGGCTATGAAATACAGGTAGTAAGATTAAGCATCTCTGAGCTTGCTCAGAATTATGTTGGTAGTGGGGAAGATCCCTCTATGTTGCAGAAAGCAGGGAACAAAGATGGACTAAGACACCTTAATACACCCCAAGTACTTATGCCAATCCTTTCCTGTCTTACTGCAGGAATTGGATTACTGAGAATCAGAGCCCTACTGTATTTTTTATTTTACCTTCCTACAAGGTCCTAAAAGTTTTACAGAGAAAAGAAGTAAAATTAAAAAAAAAAAAATTGTAAGTGAGATCTGGTATTGGATACATAAGGAGAAATAATTGCTCAGCTATTAGCCAAACAAATATCACAAAAGTTTTGATACCTCTGACAGACACATGTGATTAATTACTGTATATATCAGAAAAGTACACTTTTTATCTGCATAAGTAATTATTGGCATCTTGCCTGCAAGGGGCTGAGAAGGCAACTGGCCAAAAGGAATTTAATATGCAAAATCAAAACCCCTATATATGTCCTTGATATATGTCCTTCTTTAGATAAATGAAGGGTATTACCTACTTAAACTCAATACATGAAAGAATAAGACTGGAGCTTGAAATAAATTATGTTGATTCAAGTAGACACATATTGCAAAACTGTCTTGCTTTTCTATACAAAGAAATTAATCTTTGTTATAATCTTGCATGGAACAATAAGGCAATAAAGATATGTATTTAATTCCTGCATAATCCTTTTAATGTAGAGCTTAGTTTCTAGATTCATGGCATTTGTGTTTTCAGCTTAAATTTCAAAGCTATGTTGATGAAATCTACAGGTTGCCATTTTTCTTTAAACATTTTTAAGCTATAATTTGATGCATTTTTAGAATTTTATTCTGTCTGTATTTATATTTAACTCATTTGTCTTTTTCATATAGAACACATCAGTGTCAGGCTTCATCTTACTACCACCAGGTCTTCTCTTTTGTTTTTCTTTTAATTATTTTAATTTTCTCACTTATTTTCCTTTCATTACATGTTCTAATATTAAGTATTTAAAAGAACAGTGCAATGCTACAGTTATTAATGTACTGCTTTAACATTTATAGTATTAGTTTCTGAATAAGCATTTATTAAGCATGGGTAAAACAATATACAGACCTTTACTGCTGTAAATATTCTTACACACTTTTCTTTTTCCCCCTGTATTTGTGTACTAGGTGGTTGTGAATGCCCTTTTGGGAGCAATTCCATCCATCATGAACGTGCTTCTCGTTTGTCTTATATTCTGGCTAATTTTCAGCATCATGGGAGTAAATCTGTTTGCTGGGAAGTTCTACTACTGTGTTAACACCACAACTGATGAAAGGTTTGAAGTCGACCAAATCAACAATTTTAGTCAGTGCGAGGAACTCATAAAAAACAATCAAAGTGCCCGATGGAAAAATGTGAAAGTAAACTTTGATAATGTAGGATTTGGGTATCTTTCTTTACTTCAAGTAGTAAGTGATCACTCTTTATATACCTCTTACTGTTTATATGTAATAGTGAAAAGCGATTCTAGCAACAAAGACAGAAAAACATATTCACCTGATGGTTTTTATCTGTGACTTAGTAATACCGCTGCACTGATAACTGATGACTCTTTTCATAGTAAGCAGCAAGCAGAGCCTACTAAGATGAATAAAGAATTTTTAGGACATCTGACAGAACAAGTGCTACTCTTCCTATTTATAGTTGCCTTAGTCCTCCAGCCCCTTCTACATTTAAATGTTTCCAGAAGTACCTAGGAATGGTATTCAGCTATCTGAATACTCTAAATTTTACTGTTGCTGAAAAACAAAAATCTGCATTAGTGTGATGAAGTCACAGAGAAGAAATCCCATCTCAGTGATGTGGCTGCCACCAGTGCAGACTTATGTGATCTAAGGTGCAATTTCTCATTTGGAAGAGAAATGGGAAAAGAAAAATATAATTAGTTACTATAATCTGTAATCTGTATTTTCCCTGCTACTTCTGTGCATAAGCACCTAGTAGAGTTTATTTACCAAAAACTGAGGGAGGAAAAGAAGAAAGAAAATATACACAGAAAGATACTATAACGTTATGCCTTCGCTATCAAAAATTGTGTCCTCACAACCCTATCTTTGTATTTTGGAGTAGCTAAGAATCTGACCCAGTTTTAATCAAGAAAATGCTGGACTCTAACCTATGGTGTGTGCATTCAGCAAACCACTATGTTTTTTAAGGTTACTGTCTAATTCTGCAGAATTTTAGTTTTCATTTTTATAATTTTTAAATAGGTTTCTAAGTTTTATGTTGTCATAAGTAACCTCAATAATACAGCCCATTAACATGATGCAGTGGTATCAACATGGTCCTGCAGAGGGGTCTAAAACAATAGTTCTGAGTGTTGTGAACTGCCTCTCCCAGTTAAAACAGCATCTCACCTGTGTGACTGGTAACTGACAATTTAAATTTCACTATGATTATTTACTTTACTGCCACATGAGGAAAGAGCAGAGAAGGACAATTAATATTAAAGAATTAAACTATTGAACACAACTTGATTTTGATAACAAAATTGGATTGTAATAGAAACGTGTTAACTATTTCTTTTCTCTGTCTTATTTTGAAATCCACTGGCTTAGAATCGCCCCTAGGGTCGGGGCGGCAGAATGCTTTATTACACATGTTCAGGAGAAACAACACATCAACAAAACTCTTTCCAAGTGGTTTGCAACTCTTCTTCCAGTAGTAACCTCGTTTATTCTGGGACAGGGATCGCACCAGGTCCATTTTTTCCTGGCTTTGTGGCCGCAATCACAATCCCTCAGCTACTTGCAGTCATACATCTTTGTGTCCTGGCTATGCATAGCTTAGTCCATCTTCTCTTCATTGAAAAGAAACAAATATTTCTTACATGAAGACTTTGATTCTTAAATTATTGGATTGTTCTAGGAGGCAAATTGGGAGAAATTTGCCAATTGTTTCCATGCTTCCAAAAGAAAGTCAGTTGGTTTTGCAGTATCTACAATATAGAGATTTTTGCATCAATATCAAAGGCTTGCCTAATGGATGGATTTTTTTCATGTGAGTAGAATGTCAGTGACACCACCACTTATTTTTTCTGTATTACTAAAATGCTTGTAAAAGCATGAAGAGATTTTTTGTTTGATGTACCAGAAGAAAATGGGGCACTTCTGTCATTCCACAAAACAGACACTTGGCCCTGCAACTTTTAGCGTTTGGTAAGTTAGCCACTAGCGGTGAATTTGCAGTTACAGAATGATAAAAGCCCTAGGGTAGAGAAAGCAAAATATCAGCTTGACTTTCAGATAATGCTTTAAAATATGCAGAATTTATGTTTTTTTCACCTTCAAGAACACAAGAAAGGCCACAATTCGTAAACATTTGAGATTATTACATCACTTTCTCAATCAAAGAAGATATTTAAAAGGTTATTTTCTATTTGCTATTCAAAGTACTTTTGATGAGAATCTAGAACAGGACTCTAAAGCTGTTGTGTTCAGAAGAAACATGACAAGTGAACAGGTATGTCATAGCCCTGGACTTCCCTACCCTTCTTAATCAGCTTGTAGTAATCGTAAAGCTGAGTAAATACTAGAAATTAATTAGAGGTGTCCATTACTATGTCAGAACCAAAGATAAAGCTATTAAAACTTGAGTATTTGGCCCAAAATATGGTATTAAGCCTGAAAAATTGGAATTAAAAATCATGGCTGCAAGTGGATATGCTTTTTGGGCACCCAATGTGAACATTAATGGTCTTTTTTAAAACATTTTAATGATTAGTTGAAAAGTCTACTGAAGTCATTCAGTTCTCCACCTTAACAACCTCAGGGACAGATTTTTGTTTAGTTTTTGACAGATTGGAGAAAATAATGCCATAGAGGTCAATGTCATTTTTCTAATGACAAACTCTGTGATAAGTACCAATGCTTGAATTATAAATACAAGATCCATTTTTCAGGAAGCTAGAACCTAGCCCCAGAATGCTGCCTCTTACAGTATTATTTCCATTCTCCATTCTACCCTCTGACTCATGCCCTTTGAGCCAGTCAAAGAAGAATATTGTAAATTCCTTCAACTTTTCTGGGTTATAGGTAATACAGCATAAATCTTTATTTTCTGCATCACTGAGGTTTTCTATCTGGAGTGAATACTACTGGAAGTAGTACCATTTTCATGTCCCCCCAAAAAAAATCCAAAGCCAAAAGACTCCAGACCCTGCCACAGAGGACCTTATTATTCTGGGAAAGACATAAATGAGTCCCATGAATTATTTTTGTTTGAATGATGAAAAGCCTTTTCTGGTAGTAGATGGGTCTTTTTATCGCAGAAAAAAAACCCCTCTGTTTAAGAGTAATATAGGAAAGAAACAGATATTTCACACCAAAACACTCAGGATAAGTGGGATAATTTCAGAAAGAAATATTCTAGGCTCAAAAAATAGATTGGAAATATGTGGCAGTGGCTTTTTAAGCAAAAATAATTATCTGAGAAGCTCTTTCTTGAGTTTCCCTGGTGGTGATGCGGAATGAATTTCTGGAATGAGGGACCTAAGAAAAGAACATGAACTAATTTTTGGTTTGCATATTGTATTTTTTTTTCTTTTGGGGGAGGGGTGTGTGTAGAAAATCTGTAGTATTGGTAGCAATGTTATAATTCTTTCTGCTCAAAAATACAGGCTAACAATATGTGCCATTGATATAACCAAGTTTAATAGACTTTGTTGGTCAGAGACTCTCTTCCAAAATTCTTACATAAGCTGAAGAGTAAATATCCATGCCTTTGGTCATATAAGTACACATTCTCTCTATCAGAACTTTTTCTTCTGTGAACCAGCATGGCTCATGTTGGTCCATGTGGATTTGCAAACTTCTTTTTTCATTTCTTGGTCTGAACTTGTTTGAGTATTTCTCTGTTCCTGAAGAAAAGCATCAAAGCAGAGACAGATCTGCTGGAGAAATTCCTTTCCCAATTTTCATGCGTCAGTGAGTGAAGAGGAAGAGGTTGGTATACACAAAGAGATGTAGTTTTATGGCCTCGTGCCTTTGCAACTTGAACCCAGTGTTGGGATTCCTTGGTAAGTAAATCTCCTGGAGGCCTGGTTTATCCTGCTGGCAAGCGTCAATCCTGCTTACCAGGGTAAAATGTGGCAAACCAGTGGGTTTCAAAGCACAATGTTATATTATTCTGCTGTTACTAATATAAATATGAACACACATCTTGTTAAGTGTAGGGTAGAAAAAATCAGCAGCTGAATTCTAGGGCTATAAGATTAGGATGGCTTCAAGGTTCCATCAGGTTAGTATTTCAAAAGCAAGCTGCTATTGTATCTCCAAAAGGAAATGTGAATCTTCGCGGTGGTTATTTCTGGTAAAGAAATAGGAGTTGTGAAACTCCAGCATTACGTATAACTTCATTAGAAATTATTCATCAGGGAAAAAAGTCTATGTACTTTTAACAGTAGTAAAGTAGATTGGGGGATTTTTGTTTGTTAGTTTTTCTAACTACATTTGAATCTGCATTTGAATATATGTCTTCCAAATATCCTTGGGGAAAAAAACATTTGGAACAGATGCTGATTTCAGTTAACTGCTGCAATCTTTGAAATCAAAGAATTATTCTTGATTTAGTATCACTGAGAATATACCATATATTATTATATTTGGATATACAAAAAGGAAGTTAAGAATTTGATCTCTTAGTCACATTTCTATTACTTTCTATTCAGTATGCACAAATGCCCAAACACTACCTTATTTCTGTTAAAGAAAATGTGTTGCAGATAATTTTAAGCCTAACATAAGCAGGCCTAGGGTTCTACTGAGTGCAGTAGAAATAACACTGTTTCACTAAATGTGATGCCTTGAACTGAACCACCAGTTCTACTATTTGCTGTTGTTCAGGCAACATATTTAAAAATCACACATTACCCTACTGAACTGACGCTTCTGTTTTGGGAATTAAAAATCCATTTTCTCTCAGCTAAGTTCCCAACTAATGTAAATAGTTTTGCATAATAATTAATATATTCACTGATTCAGACTGATTTTCAGGAGGGATTGAGAATAAAACAAATATTATTATGAGGGAGCATATTTTATTATTAAAAATGTTTACTTTTAATTAGGTTTTAGGAATTTTTTTTCTTTTATTTCTTCAGTAATGGTAATATCTTATGGTTTTGTGAAACTCATTGTGGAAAATGCACATTTTACTTTAGATATTTTGAACTGCAAGATAATAATGTTGTATTTTTCCACCCCCACACTCCTTTCAAGTTGCCTTTTTAACAGTAATAATAAGCATACAACAGCTCAGTTCTTCAGATCTTTTTCCTTGTAGTAGCTGAAAGGTACTGTCTGTCTATAATGGAGTACTTTACTGATGATGGTGAAGCTTAATATTTTAAAATTAGTCTATTTCTTTTGCATTCAGTCTAGGCTATACCAATAGATTTACAATAAGCAATCATTCCAGTTTGCCTGGAGGACGATATGCAGGTATCATCATGTGTCTGAATCTGAGGCAACAGCACACACTTTGCAGAAGAGACACTCCATCATTCACATCACGTTTCTGATGTAAAAGTATGCCCATTGCTTGCATTTAGTGCTTCAGGTTGAAGTGCTGATTTCAACCTATGTTATGACATTCTAAAAAAATGCAAATAACGTACCAAAACATAAACAAAAGTAGTGACTGTAGGACATGAAGTAATCATCCTGCCCTGTTTAGACCTTGGAAGACCTCAGCTGAAATACATCATCCAGTTTTGGTCACCATTTCAAGAAATGAACTAGTGGAAAAGAGCTCAGAGGAAGATAACGAGAATGATCAGAGTTCTGGAAAACAAAATCTGCATGGAAAGATCGAAGGAACAGTGATCACAGAAGAAAGGCAGCAAGAGTCAGTTTGCAAATAAGTAAAAGGTGCTGCACAAAGGATGATTAGTACTCTGTTCTCCAGATATGTAATGATTATGACGTGACAGTCTTAAATGGCAACAGAAGGATTTCAATATTAGGAAACAATAAAGACAAGTGCTTGTTTCAGATTTATTGGTGATTTAGTGGTCCTCTGATACTACACTTTGATTTCACCATTGTACTGTAAGTTGCATGAACTTTGCATTTTCTGTGTTGGCCCCAGGATGTGAAAGTTGTTGCATACTGGATTTGCACCTCCGGATAATCAAGACCTTTTTAGTATTCCACTGTTTCAAAAGCATAAGGGATCTCTTTTCCTTTAAGAAAATAATTCCTTCTCATTTTAAGTTCACTTCAGGATCATGCCAGCTGCTTTGTTTGCTGCATAAGCAAAGCCTTTTTGAAACCTCCACTAGAAATGAAACCTCAAGATGATGGAGAAACAGCAATAACCATGGACGAAGAGTGTTACATTCCTGACTTGTTTCTGTGACTGGTCTCTGTGGCAAGGAATGTGAAGGAACCAATGGTCTGCAGCCTTGCTTAGTGAAATTATAACAGGGAATAAATGACAGAGAACTATCTCACTTCTTTGTCTTATTCTGGGCACAACTGGATTAAAAACAGTGATTTCAATTTGGAGATGTTGCCTAGTCAAAAGAGAACTAATTGCTACAACAGAGAAAATTACTGTTTTGAACACTCAGATGAAGCAATCTGTACCTCGCTGTCAAATATAAAAAAAATTACTGATTTTGGGCAGAGGAAATAGCTGTAAAGGTTCATTAAATGCTGACACCTATGAGGCATATTAAATTAATTCACATAAAACACATCCTTTTCTGAGGAGTTTATCTCCAAATATATCTTGAGGGATCTAGCCTCTGTAAAACACAATAATATTTAAAGTGAAAACAGAATTACTAAGTCAGGTAAAGTCTTTCAAAGTAGAGAAAAATCAAGATTCTGATTGACAGGAAAAGACCTTTTCTGAGGTGATAAAATTTTTCGTTCACTTTGCCACATTTCTGACTGTTTTGAGAGGGAGGGACACTACACATCAGTCTTCATTGGTGGCAACCCAGTTACATAAGGCTGTTTCTCAGCTGCACACAGCCTTTGCAGCTGACATGATATGATGAATATTTAGTCCATTAAAACAATACTGCATTCTATCATTTGTGATAATTAATTAGAAATAAGTTAATTATGCTTACTGCTTAAAATGTTCATATAGAAACAAAATAGGGGATACACAGCAGTGTATCTGATGAGCAGCTGTGAAGAAAGCAAGGTGATAAAATTATCTAGAAATACCCTGTTATGCTAATTAGTCCTGGTGCTGTACTCGGTTGCTGGAAATAATTATATGACTTGTCTTCAAGCTCTATGCTTAAACAGGTGTGTACTGTTTACAGGCTACATTTAAAGGCTGGATGGATATTATGTATGCAGCTATTGACTCAAGAGATGTAAGTACTGCAAATATTTAAAATTACCTTTTTTTTTTGAGGCCTGTCTATCAAGTGTGTATTACTATATCTTCCAAAAGCAATTACTATCCAAACAACAGAATGAAACAAAATTAACTAATATGAGATTCTGCTGTAACAAATTGTGGAAAACTGAATGCAAACTGCCAGATGCTGTCAGTAATAGATGGAATGGTCAAAATACATTGAAATAAGTGACAGTATTGTCCAAACACAAAATATCAAGGATATTTTGCCCAAGGTTGATGCTTGTTGAGTTGAAATTTTCACATGAAATCTTAGGAATGATATTTCACATTTTTTCCCTTAGGTATTACAGCAACCCAAATATGAAGACAACCTGTACATGTATTTGTATTTTGTCATCTTTATTATTTTTGGGTCTTTTTTCACCCTGAACCTGTTCATTGGTGTCATTATTGATAACTTCAACCAGCAAAAAAAGAAGATAAGTATTGTTTCATTTCTCTTCTAAATATATTCTAAAATATTGCATTTTTGCAGGTGTATGATACATGAAATGTACACCCAACACTTCCTCAAAACTGAAAAAGATAAAGTACATTAGGATATAAAATCTTACCAAGATGTAGTATGCATTAACTTCTTAAGATCTTACATTGTAGTGAATGGCACAGACCCTTCTGTTTTCAATATCCAGTTTAGTCTTCCTCAAGTCATCTTCTTTTCCATGCCTAAACCTCATGAAATCTCCTTGTAGGATCAAACCCCAATTTAGGTCTCTCATTAAAGCACTCATGATTTCTTAATTTTTTTTCTTCTTTGTACTGATTCTGTCAGCACAAAAAAATAGCTACCTGGTTATGAAAAATAAAGCATTATTTCATCACAGTACTACAGATATTGTTTTAATGATCCCAAGTATTCAAGTTCTGTTTTGTGGCATTGAATAATCTGAAACTATACAGAAAAGGAGTGGTTTGTAACTATCTCAGGGCCTTTTTTCATTGCTTCATAGTGCAGGTGTAGATAATCTCACTGGTATAGATGGTCTGAGTATCAGATACTCATCTTTAAAGTTAATTTGTCTAAATAGATAAGGTAATGAAAGCTAAAGGACAAAAGCAGCTATGAATTACTATTTTAATTTTACCTTACTGGATTTCACATTTTCTTTGGGTTTATGTTACTAATGAGAGATGCTAAGTAAGGTTTCTGGAAGCTGTACATACTAGAGGCCTAGAGGTATGTGGCTAGGGAGCCTGTCCAGTGTACAGTGCATGCATCCCCATATCTTCAAGCTTCCCAAACACTCATCCACAAAAGGGCTCCAGTCTTATGTGTTCATAGACATTCCTGGAATTAGATGTCTGCAAGTATCTTTTATCCAGGAAGATTTACTTCAAGAGGTATGTGGAGTCTGATGTGTTTTCATTCAAGCTGTCTCTACAAGAAAGTTACTATGGGCAGTGGATTTTGGTAGGTTGCTATGAAAGACCCATAATTCTCTCTTTATCTTCACCGACAGACTCCAGAAGTCAGTTCCGGCTTTTGTTAAGCAGAACTTCATAGAACATGGAAGCTAATCAAGATAAAAGACTCAGAAGAGAGCACTTTGCTGTTAGTAGTATCAAGAGTGCTTCAGTCTTCAGCTCAGTTTCTCCAAAGCCTGATAACCCATCTCAGGTTGCATGGGGCTCTGGGGAACCTGATCTAGTGAAAGATGTCCGTGCTTACTGCAGGGGGGTTGGACTAGATGACCTCCATGGTCCCTTCCAGCTCAAACTATTCAATGATTCTATGATTCTGTCTTCTCAAAAAACGCCCCAATGCTAATGTTACAATTGCTAAACTAGAGATATCCAAAACACTAACACATTCATATATTGAAAACCTGACTTTGTCTCCTTCCTTTGTTTCACTAAAATCACAGTTCAGAAGTGACTTCAGATTATGTCAGCTTATCTCACATGCTGTTTACTGTATCACTCCCTGTAAGAGAAAATATGTACTGAAAAAATGTTTCCTAGAGTTCAAGGAAAATAACTGTAGAAAAATGCTGCATTACTATTTTTTAGTGAGGTGCAGTACTGGATGTCCAGACAACTCCTGGACTAAATGTTTAGACTGCAGACAGCTGCATTTGATAGCTAAGAGATTTTTCCTAGTTCAGTCTTCTTGATTTTCATGAAATAAATAAATAAATACATCACATTTCTCTTTAAGAGTTTTTTCAACACTGCATATAAATGTGATTATAACCAGTTTTGATTTCATGTTTTTACTTTGGAGGTCAAGATATATTTATGACAGAAGAGCAGAAGAAATACTACAATGCAATGAAAAAGCTGGGATCCAAAAAACCACAAAAACCTATACCAAGACCAGGGGTAAAATTATTTATATACATCAGACCAATAGCTATTTACAAACAACTCAGGTTTTATTGATATATAGGAGCAGAAATATGCCTATGTGAAAATTATCACTAACTAGTGTATCAGTCAGCAAAAACAGAAAATGAAAACACAGTAAAAAAAAATTTTCCCTTGCAACCATTTTATGTATGAATATACAAACAAAGGAGGCTCAGATAAGCTGTTGTAGTCACTTTGACTACTTAAGAGCACTAGTTACATTTTTATTGGAGTCTCATAGGCCTTACTACATATATTTTTCTACTTTCTTCTAACGGTACAGGAAAAACAATTACAGTTTGTATTGGATGTTTCTTTTTTTCTTTTCTCCTCAGAACAAATTCCAAGGCATGGTCTTTGATTTTGTGACACAGCAAGTATTTGACATCAGCATCATGATTCTTATTTGTCTTAACATGGTTACCATGATGGTAGAAACTGATGACCAGAGTAAAGAAATGGAAAATATTTTATACTGGATAAATCTGGTGTTCATTGTCCTTTTCACTGGAGAATGTGTCCTGAAATTGATTTCACTTCGCCATTATTATTTCACTATAGGCTGGAACATTTTTGATTTTGTAGTTGTCATTCTCTCAATAGTAGGTAAGTCTTGTTTATTAAATTAAAAAGATGGTAAAATGAATATAAGGTGAACTTTTACTTGAATAGAGCTATATGGTTGGCTTTTGACATTGCAAGGTTTACAACCAAGTCATGCAGGTTTTCATTTTATCTAATAATTTACCTAATCCAACCATCAAAACTGTTATAATCGTTCAACATGTATTGCACCTGCAAATATTAAGTCTAACAGGTAGAAGAGAAATTATGCAAGTGCTATCTACAGAATATCTTTTATTGCTACATAGAACCACCAATTTAAAAAAATTTTCTAAATTTCTACTATGTTATGGAGATTAAGTGGTAATGTCCCTTGGTTTTATTTTTGTCTGTTTTAGGTATGTTTTTAGCTGAGATGATTGAAAAGTACTTTGTTTCCCCCACACTATTCAGAGTCATCCGACTTGCCAGAATAGGTCGAATCCTGCGTCTCATTAAAGGCGCTAAGGGAATCCGCACTCTGCTCTTTGCTTTGATGATGTCTCTTCCTGCTTTGTTCAACATTGGGCTGCTGCTCTTCCTGGTCATGTTTATCTATGCGATATTTGGCATGTCCAACTTTGCCTATGTTAAGAGGGAAGCTGGTATAGATGACATGTTCAACTTTGAAACTTTTGGCAACAGCATGATCTGCCTGTTTCAAATCACCACATCTGCTGGCTGGGATGGTTTGCTAGGCCCAATTCTTAACAGTGGGGAGCCAGACTGTGACCCCAACAAAGCTCATCCGGGGAGCTCTGTGAAAGGTGACTGCGGCAACCCTTCCGTTGGGATTTTCTTCTTTGTCAGCTACATTATCATATCATTTCTGGTAGTGGTGAACATGTACATTGCTGTGATTTTGGAGAACTTTGGTGTTGCTACTGAAGAAAGTGCTGAACCCTTGAGCGAGGATGACTTTGAGATGTTCTATGAAGTCTGGGAGAAGTTTGATCCTGATGCAACACAATTCATGGAATTTGAGAAGTTGTCTGATTTTGCAGCAGCACTTGAGCCTCCTCTTCATCTACCCAAACCAAACAAAGTCCAGCTTATTGCAATGGATCTGCCCATGGTAAGCGGTGACAGAATTCACTGCCTTGACATCTTGTTTGCTTTCACAAAGCGTGTTTTGGGGGAAAGTGGGGAGATGGATGCCCTCAGAATACAGATGGAAGATCGGTTTATGGCATCCAATCCTTCAAAAGCTTCCTATGAACCAATTACAACCACATTAAAAAGAAAACAGGAGGAAGTGTCTGCTGTCATTATTCAACGAGCTTATAGGCGTCACCTTTTAAAACGAACAGTAAAACAAGCTTCCTTTATCTATAACAAAAACAAAACTGAAGGAGGGGCTGGTCAGGGTATCCTTATTGACAAATTAAATGAAAACTCATTTACAGAGAAAACCGATATAACTGCATCAACAGCAGTTTGTCCACCTTCTTATGATCATGTAACAAGGCCAGTCAAAGAAAAGCATGAAAAGGAAGATAAAGATGTGCAGAAATAAAAGCAAATAGCAAGCAAAATCATCTATGTGCAAAATAGTAGTCTGTAAGGATCATGTGTTTGTGTCAATGTGACTCCTGCTGGAGGTCTATGCCAAACTGACAATTTTTACAAATATACTCTACATTAAAGGTCAGTGCCTATTTAAAGACAGTGACACCTTGTCAGTGACTGTGACTGTGATATGCGGAGACAACCTTGACAGGAGTTTACTGTTCTCACTACCAGCTGACACTGCTGAAGAGGAGAGAAAAAATGGCTACTCAGACTGTAGGGACCAGTTAAAGGGGTGCAAACCAAGTATTTGTGTGTTTAGCATAAAACAATACCATAACTGTATCCACTGTTTGCATTTCAACTGCCAGATATGTCATATTTTTACAAAATCTGTGTTGGTGGATCCATCTTATTTTTATTCATACGTTGTTTATTATATGTGACTATTTTTGTAAATGGGGCTTTTGTTGGGGGAGGGGTGAAGTACACCGTTTACAGGTACAAGGGCCAGCTGTTCTATCATATGACTAATATGACACAGAAATTATTTGCATGAAGGCATGCTGTACTGATAGATCATGCATGAAAATAACATTAAGTCACAAAGAACAACAGATTTTTTTAGCATAAGGTTTCTGGAAAGGAATAACAGATTTTGAGGTGCTTAATTTAAGTATTCATGTTGTATCACATCCAAACAAGTCTTGGTATGCCTGTAAAGTCTCCTATAACTCATAAGAAGAGCAGTGACATAATTTTTTTCCACAGACTATTAAGTTTCAGAAAGTGAAAACTTTCATCCAGGTCTGGAGCCACAGATTTTGTCTTTGTCAAATGTCCTTCTGCATACAAACACCAAATTAATCTGCCTCAGCCCTCTAAACTGATCAAAAAGAACCCTTTATAAAGTTGTTCTGCTTTATCCTGCAGTATTGTTTAGCCATCTTCAGCTCTCAGTAAGGTTGATGTTGTTGTACATGTTAATGAAAAGCCCTCTGCTATGTACATAGTAATTTTTAACCTGTGGTGCATGTTTGAGCAAACAGATAATGACCTAAGCACATTTATTGCATCAAATATGTACCACAATAAGTGTAGTGTGCAAGTGTTCAACAGGTAAAATTATGTATTATCTACCATTATAGATAGTTTGGATGCTATCAGTGCATGTTTATATTGCCTATGCTGCTGTTCCTTTGACTGTCTGGGATTCTTAAATATGGGAAGCCATACATCAGAGCTAAATGAAATAAACTATTCAACAAGACCTCATTCCTCCATACCATTAAGCAATATTTTGCAATTATTTAGAAGCTTATTTGTTTTATGTTTTTGAATTTTCAAATAAAAGCATATAGTGTATATCTAAACTGTACAGACATGTTGAAAACTACTAAACCTGTTGAAAATAATGTTAGAATTTTATAAGCAAATATAAATACTGTAAAAATCATTTTATTTTATTTTTCAGCATTATGTACATAAAACAAGAACAGAATTTTATCTTCAGGTTGATGTCACACCATTTTTGTTACTTTCTGTCCATAGCACTTTTTCACAGAAGAACTCCAGAGAACAAGATATCAAGAGAATGAATAGCTGTAGGTTCTTACTTTTTACAGTATTTGCAAACATGTCAATACTTTCTGTTAAATAAGATCATAATTTTCTTCAAAAAATATACTTTTTTTTGCGGTTGGGAAATGGTGTAAAGTTCAAACTGAATGTTTAAGCAGTGCCTGCATCATAAGTTTTCAGATATAAGCTTTCTTTCACAGAATCCTTACTCTTTTCTCAAATTTACTCACAGTTTTGGTTGTTTGGGTTTTTTTGGTTTGGTTTTTTTTTTGGTGTTTTTTGTTTTGTTTTGTTTTGTTTTGTTGGGTTTTTTTAATTCATGCTGCACTAGAACAGTTCTAAATGTTATCTTGGGTCCACACTATTTTTTCACAAAGAGAAAGTAGCAAAATTGTATAATCCAACACATGTTTCTTTACATGTTTATGTTTCTTAAACAGGAAAATTAAATATAGATTACTTTTATTAAAATTATTGACTAATACCGTATTAGTGAACTGCATGCAGGAAAATGCTATTACCCTAACTGATGCTAAACAACATTATTAATGCGCCAAGATAATAAAGATTACATTTTTTATTGTATATTCCTTTTGTCTTTATTATCTGATATTAATGTAAAAAAGGTATGCTTCTAAAACCACACAATATGAGGATACTGAAAACCTTTACAGCCAGCTATACTGTTCTTCCACATAAGCAAATCCTTGGGACTTGCTTGTTAGCCACCAACTAGGAATTTCTAATTCAATGCAAGTTAGACACTGAGCATGATGATTCAATAGTACTGCCCTGAGTAACTTGGTGAGTTCACGCAGCACCTCCATGCAGCAGAGTACTCAACCATCAAATACCAGAGCTGTCCTGAGTGTGTCCATGGAGGCTCAGAGCATTTACAGGAATGAGAACTGAGCATACATGGGTTTATGAAGAGAAAGTGAGGACTGAAAACAGTATTAGATACGTGACATTCCCCAGCTTGGATTATGAGAACCGGTTTATTCTTGCTAGTTGCTATTTACAAATAGGCTATAGAACATCTTGCATTCAAGTGCATTTCTGAGAAAGGTGAACTGGCTTCAGAGCAAATAACCATTGGTCTTTTCCTCAGCAATTTTTAAGAATTTCTCCGGAAGGAACATGTTAGTAGAAGCTATCGTTTGTGGATATTCACATGGAAAAATGCAAATGCAGCTGGAAAGTAGGCTTGTCAGTAATTCCTTATCAATTGCTTCAGTGAATTTTTGAAGATGTTCATTTTACATGCTTACATAATTTTATATAGCATTCCCCTACAACTTACGATGAAAACACTCAAAGGTGAATACTGGACTTAGTATAAAACCAGTTTGTATGCCGCATGCCTGCTCAGTTGCTAGTGCACAGATAAACTTTCATAGCATCTTTCCTGATACTCATCACAAATCTTTTGAGGGAGGAAAATGTTTCTCCTTCAAATTGTTCTGAAATGCATTATGAAAAGAAACTCTAAAACTTTGATAGAAAAGCATAAGTATCAAACAGAAAAAATAAGTATTTTCAGATTAACATGTAGACAAAATAGGTCTTGAAAGGTTACCTTAAAAAGTATGTAAAATATCCACAAACTGACGGGAATATACTGCTTCAAAAATAAGGTAGTAAATTGAAAAATGTTTTTTAATATTCTATGCACAGCTTTTTAAACTTTGCTTTTCTCAAGGAAATACCTTTTAACATAAATGAGAACTGCCACTGTCACTGCAGATCACAGGTCATGGCCATGCAAAAGTACCTGTTTCTCACACCTATTTCAGGTTTTCAGTGTCACGGGAGCCAAAATGTTACTTCAGAAGAAGTGGAGGCTCACTTAAACATGACAGGAAATTTTGAAGATCATCTTGGACAGCAAGGAAAACCAGATGCGCTCACATATCGCTGCCTTGGCACCTCCCGGCACTGGGGATGGGACGTGTGTGACGGAGCAGCGCCATGTGTGCGATGGATTTGCTGGGGAAGCTTTCTCTGAGCGCTCTGCACTAGAAGAACCGTCTCCACCCGCTAACTGCATGGAGGCTGGTTCCCCTCCCTGTGCTGAAAGGCATCCCTGATGGCTGTCATGTTGAACAGACAAGACAGCCGCTCCGAAGGTACACTATTTGGCCACAGCTGGTTGTTTCTGGTGCCAGAAACTACGACTGAGGGTGCCTTCACCTCCAGGGGAAAGCCTGACTTTTACTAGTCTTTGCAACCCCGCAGTCCCATAAGAGGAAAGGTGGAGATAAAGAGCTGCCTGTGTTTGGCTGCACCCCGTCGCTGTTTCATCTGTTTCATTGCTACAGAGAAGCTTCACATGGCTTGAAGTGCTCACTATTGAGAGACATCATGAAACACACGGAGCGTGGGCCACTTAGTCGTATGTCCAGCCAAAAAAGCCCAAGAACCTGAGCAAACTCCCACAGCCGGCCCCTCCAGGCCCTGACGCCCTCACTGCTCCACGCGCTCCGCAGGGAGAGGTGCTGCAGCCTCC